TATATATATATATATATATATATATATATATATATATATATATATATATATATATATATATATATATATATATATATATATATATATATATAAGCTATCTATATAATTGCTAACTATATAAACTAGAGAATAAAGCTAAAACAAAGTATATATATATATATATATATATATATATATATACTTTGTTTTAGCTTTATTCTCTAGTTTATATAGTTAGCAACTTTTTTAAATGCATCTGCCGGTTGAGAAACATAAAATATATAAAATATATAAAATAAAGCATGGCGATAAAATATATAATAGTTTTGTTTGTGGAAATTCACACCACGTAAATTTATTACTGCAAAGCTTTCGATCCGTAAGCCAGGATCTTCATCAGTGCTGTATTCCAACAAGTTTTTAATGTATCCCTTGAGAAGGCTTTGACCACTCTTCCCATCTTGAATATCCAAGCGAAGAAGAGTTGCGCTGAGAAAAAGAAAAAAAAGAAGAAATTATTTACGAAAGACAAAAGCTAGTTTAGAGGAACACTGGAAGAATACATCAGTTATGACGTAAATACTAGTCAGTATGTCTGTGGTACAGTATATTAAATGGCTTCTAAGTTCTAAAGCAATCAAATTTGTTGTAAAATATTACATATCAGCTCATTCTTACTGGAGCAACCCTCAGGCTAAGTCGAGGGCTTTTGTCAAGCTTGCTATTATCTCAGTTAGTTGCCTCCCATAGCTCCTAGCCATGGCAGCCCGCAGCCCACTTAATTCAGTAACATGAAATTTAACGCAGAGCCAAAAATAATTATGTATAAACATACAGGAATAACAAACTAAAATAACATTCTTCTATATTCCTAAGGTGCTATGGTAACCGCCAGTCTTTGGCAGCAACACAGCGATCACGCTTAGCCATGGCATTTGAAATTAATGAAGATGCAAAACATCGAAGCAGTGTAGAAGCTGGCGCAAAGAAGAGAAGTCCTGTTGGAAACTTACAAAACAAAAATTTTGATAAGGAGATAATGAAAGAGGAAGTGGAAAATTATCCAGATAATATGGTTATAAACTGGTCAACTCTAGCAAGAAAGCACAACATCAGGAACACTCAGGGTGAAATAGCAAAGAATGGAGGTCAAATTGCAAAAGAATGGCTAAAATCTGCTGGTGTTGACATCAATCGATTCAAGCGCAAACTTGATGGGAACGATGAGAAAGTGCGAAGAAAGAAACTGAGGGGACATGGTGGAGAAATTAGTGTCGCAGTGCCACAAACAACGGAAAGTGTGAAGGCTGACATGAAAGAAAAAATCTTGTCGGGTGAATATACTGTTGGACAACAAATAGTACCACGAAAGGTGTGCATGTGTACATATAAATACATACAGCATATACGTACAGTAACTCAACTTCAACTCATCTGATTTTAGTAAAACATTTGACACAAACATTCAACACTACTAAATAAATACTGTATACTGAATCTTAATTAGTAGATAATTAAGGCACTTTTAAAGACAAATCATGAATAATTTCCTACCCCAGTTAATTAATATGGCACAGGCGTATTATGTGCAAATATTAACTTTATCTAAAAGTTTATAAAATTTTACTCATTTTCTATTTCTAGTATGTCAAGATGGTACTCGGTGATTCTGGGGAGATGGTAGAAACAGAGTTTATGGTCGATGAACGAAAGCAGCCACTGCTAGAAATAAGAGAGAGGATGCTTTCGAGTCAAGAAAAATACATGAGGCAGAGGACCAATGGCGAATATGACAAGCTGACAAAGAATAGTCTGACAAAATCATTGAAAGCGATTAATGAACACATCGAAGGAGAAAATGAGGACGAAATGAGAGATAGGCTGAAAGATATTGAAAGTACAAGGCACCTGAAGATGTGGCATGATCTTTCAACAATTGCCAATCATGGTCACTTAGTTTTCATGGTGTCATGCCTTTATGACCTTGCCGTGCATTACACGACAGAAGAATATCAAAACCTTACTGGAAATAAGAACATAGATATACAAATGAAAGTCCAAACACCTGAAGTCTATATTGTTGCCAGGTCTGGTAGTTCAGATGTTGAGCAATTGTCCTACATTGACACACGACTTGAGTGCTTGCAGGACATGAAAGCAAAGCTCCAAACAAAATCTGGAAACAATGATACTGACACAATGCGTTTCTTTCATGGTGACAGTCCAGCTCGCCAACTTGAGGCTGGTCAACAGAAACGAGGCAATTTTTACTGTTCAGGATGTGGTGCAAATGCACAACAAGCATATCAACTGGACATTTGTTTTTCCTGCCACTACCTGTCGTTGTCTGACAGACAGCAGATAGTGCTCGCCGGTCCTCTAGGAAGAAAAAATTCCCTGGCAAAATCTCCCAAGCCATTCAAAAAACTAAAGAAGGATGAACTTATTCGAGAACTAAACGCCAGAGGAAATTATAAGGGTGATAAAAAAAATGAACTTGAGAAGATCTTGGCAGAGGATTTACGGAGGGGTTCAACGAGTACCAGCATTACTTTACGCAAACCCAACATCAATTCTCCAATCCATCAACTGTGACAAGTACGAGATACTTAGCTTTGAACCACTTCATGACATCGGAAAACATATTGAAAACATTCTCACTGAACTTCCACATCACCTTCCTGAAAGAGAGGCTATTGCTGTCAAGGACATTATTACTTGTACAATTGGTGGGAAGGAAACTAAACGAACATTTGATTATCGTTGTGCTCTTATCATCCTTGCAAAACAATCATTCAAGATTATCAGTTCGAAGCTGATTCAGCACCTTTTGACCACGCTGGTGCAAATTCAAAGAATTGCTTACAGTTCAGAAGCGGAGAGAACTCCTAAGTCTGTTCTTCGCATGCGCAACATGACATGGTATCATGGCATCTTGTGTAGAGAAGAACTTGGATTCAAGCTTAAGGAAATTACCACCCGTAAGCTGTATGGCAATTATTATCATAACATCACCAGCCACGCTGCAATACAACATCGCCTGATCAGTGGAAAAGCATGCATGCAATGTCGAAGAGCAAGAACGAATCTTTAACACCATTACCAACATCACTGCGTCGCCTCCTCCTACCACCCGAGTCACATCATTGGAAACATCTTCATCAGACTGCAAGCCGGGAAACAGATGCAAGCTTTCCAAGGCTCTTGTTTCTCTAAGCAAGAAGCATCTGTTTCTAAGCTTGCAGCATCACTACCGTCTTATGGTAACACCGTAATTCCACAAGACCTAAAAGAGAAGCACATCAGATCATGGCAAGCTCACCTTGAAAGAGTTAGTGATTTTCTCCTGCCAGGTAAAGGAATCTGGTGGGTTGAGCATGAGGATGGTGATACTGAATTTCTTGATGGGGAAAATGAATCAAATATAAGTGCGCAAGGTCCTTTACTTCACCACTTTCGGTCCAGCAATTTTTGTGTTGAGGAACAGTACTTTATCGATTGTTGGAAGCAATGCTTAACAAATGGTGTTATCCTTCCAATAAAGGCCATTCGAGTTGAAGATGAGCATGGTCAGCTTAAGATTGTGATTACCTCACCATGTGGTAATACGGTTGTCAATGACAATGCGGCTAATGAAGAACAGCAGGCTGAAGAACAATCTAACATGGAAGAACAGCCAGGCACAGATGAACAATGTCGACAGAACGAAGAGTCGGAACCGGAAATTGTTGGATTCCACCTAGATAATTCATTTAACACTTTTGATCTAGAACCTGCTGAGCTTGATGAGGATAACACAAGCAGTATAATGCCTGATTCAAGTGCTAATAGTGAGAAACATGGTTGTACAGAAGTATCAATAGGTAAAGAATTCTCCAGAGGTCTAGTTACTGTATATAGCCATAACTATAGCACATCAGCTATCAGGGCCGTAGCTAGACAAATAATTGTGGTGGTGTATATTCATATATTCATGCATGCATGTTTACATACCATAAAACAATCAAAAGAATTCCATCTTGCAGAACACAAATATATGAATATACTCCCCCCCCCCCAATTATCGTTTTAGCCACGGCCCTGTCAGCTATAGTGTATAAAGATGTACAATGAGTTTCTGGCTTATCTGTATGGTACGGCAGTAAGTATTATCTCAGAATTATAAATAACCTTAATTAGTAAACATTAATTGTATGTTTATGTTCATTACAGATTCTGCCTGTTCAGTAGGTAATGAGCTAGAAACAACACTGAGACATCCTACAACAGTAAACAAAGATGATTATTCTGGTATCAACTGCAAAGTCCAAGCTGAAAATTCCGTGGGATGTGTAACAAAATTAGGGAAAGCAATTGAGTTTGTGATGGGCAAGACGAATGAAGTTCTGCAGTTTGATAAAGCCAGACAAAAGTATAAACAGTTCCCCGCTGACAAACTTTACTATGACGCGTTCATGAGAAAAGTGGCTGTGATGGAAACCCGTGTCTCAAAACAACAGCGAGAAACAAGAGTCAAGCTTAGTCAATGGGAGAAAGATTTCTTTATAAACAACAACTGGAAAGTTGCCACTGAAAAGGATATAGCTGCATGTTCACATGCTCAACTTTTGAGAAACAAGCTTAAATATGCCAAAGCTATTTTGAGTAAGTTGAGAAGTTAAGTAAAATCAAAAGAACCTGACAGTAGAAAATGATTTCATATTGCACAGTGTCATAGATTAATTTGTATATTTTAATACCACATGCAGGCAGTCAGGTTTATTATTGGTTTACAAATGACGCCTAACCTGACCACCACAATTGCGCCGTTTACAGTCACCAAAAACTGCTAGGAATTACTCCCTAGTAGTCTACGATGACTACAATTAACACTTCGGCACATTCCATGTAATATCAGATAAAAAAACTAGAACAGTTTGCCTATATTTTCGCACTATATTAAAACGGAGAAGTGGTATTAAACAGCTAGTACAAAATACTGTAGTGTATATATATAAAATATTAGCATTGTAAATGAACTCACCTTAGCTTTAACCATGTAAATACCATAAGGAATACTTGTAGAGTACATAAACATTACCACATTTATTCACACGCATTTTAGTAGTAAACACATTTTACGTGAACACATTTTACAACGATAAAAACCTCTTTCAAATTTTTGCACCAACGAATTCCCTTTAAAAATATGAATTATGCAGAAAGCTCTGTACGGTTGCTAAGGTAACCATGGTCCTTATATGGGCAACACTTCCATATAGGGAAAACCAATGATATAGAAATATTAGGCGCCAACATTTGCAGTTTTTGCGCGAAGGTCTATCTGTAGTATTGTCGAACAAATCAAGCGTATATTCGAATATTTTGGTAAATTTCAGCATGCGACATACAATCGAGGAGAAAAGAAAGATGCGCAATCAGAGAAAGAAGAGAAAGCAACATCAGAAATCGCAGTTGAAGCGCGCGGCTCTTATACAAGATGCATTTCGTGATGTCAAAGCAAAATCTGACCAGCAAAGAAGCATTGCTTCTACATATTACAAACTTTGGAAAAGAAGTGTTGACGTCAACAAAAAATTACAAACCAAGTTGGACAACAGGGCAAGCAATAACAAGGTATATTCAATTTTTAGTACAAATACATTTCATCAACCCTTTTAAGTTTTATTAATGCACCTATTGAGGCCTATTGATGTTAATCCCAAGGGTGGGAGGGTCGGGCATTTGATTTTTCATGCAATCAAATTCCCTACCATGGGAAACATGGGAACAAATATGTGATCAAATGCCCCACTGTTGCAGGGCACACATATCTGTGGTGAAAGGCATGAAAGTCATTTGTCCCAGTCCTCAACATGTGCTCTTCCTTTATAGGATGCAAGATGGCTCTCAATTCAAATATCCCCATCCTCGGGAGATGGTGTCGATCAAATTCCAGAGGGTGGGGAAACAAAAATCGATCAAATACCCCACATATGCCAGACCCCCCCCTGGGGTTTACCATTTAAAGGTGCATAAATATAACTGCAGTATATGAATACCATAAACCTCTGATTATAAGCCCCCTCCCCTGACTATAACAATAATGGGCTTATAAACGGGGGCGTCTATAAGCCCATCACATTACTGAATACCGACGTTCACACCATTCCAAATATAAGCTCCCCCCACACTTGTTTATCACTACCACTATACATGTTTATCACTAAATTCACTATTACACTATGAACACAAAATGTTGTTCATGTATAAGCCCCCATGTAAGCCCAGGGCTTATATTCGGAGGTTTACGGCATGTCCATATGCCATTACCTATATATTTGTACAGCCAATTCAAAAAAGGTTGTACTTTGCAAACCCTAAACTGTAAACCTTAATAAACTCTAACGTCTCTAAGCATGCAAAGCTTAATGGGAGCATATGTATTTATTACCTTTGCCGGAACCCTCATTCTCATGATTCAAAATGAAAGGCAATTTGCTTACGATTTTTGAGAATGAGACTTCCTGCCAAGAAGAGAATTGTGATGTAAACTATATCAAAGGGTTTGTTGCTCACACACTATTATAAGAAGCCAAGGAACTAAAATAGCAACATAAAGCTATAAAAAATAACACCACCCAGCCAAGTTCAATACCCCTTGATTCCCAAAACCTGGTATGGCTATACAAATCACTAATAAATAGTTATTAAATTTCAAATTGAAGGTAACTCAGTTGAACATGTCCAGCTCAAGTACTTGTACAGTACCAGTAGGTATTACAACTATTCAACATGAAGAATTGGAGGAAATTAGCAATGAATCAATAGGGAATGGAGTTTTTGGCAATTGCTTCCTTAAAAAATTCATTAGATTAGGAATAACAGTTGTTGAAAAGCAGTTGATTGACAGCACTGCTGATATGCTATATAAAGAAGCAATATTTATGCAAAAATTGTCACACAGATGTATCCCATTGTTATTTGGGGTGCAGCTAGACAAAAAGCCAATCTCCCTGATAATGCAATTTATTGGGGAGAACAATCAGTCTATAACAGTTTTCAAGTTGCTATTTGACCCACTGTACCAACATCAAGCTTCAGAAATGTCAACCAAAACATGGCTCTGCATATGTTATGACATCACTGATGCACTTGACCACATGCACCAAAGAGGATATCTCCACTGTGACTTGAAATCCAATAATGTGTTGGTTGCACAAAATAAGGGATATCTAATTGACTTCGGGAAAGTTTGTGAAATCTCTCGACCAAAGGCAAAGAAATACAAGGAAGTGTACACACACATTGCACCAGAAGTCTTGAAGGGATATCCTGTTACAACTGCCAGCGATATGTATTCACTTGGTAGAGTTCTTAAGGCAATTGGCAAGAAAATCAGCAGCACAATCCTATTACAGTTAGCAAATGCAGCTACTGATCTTAACCCCACAAAAAGGCCCACTCTTTTGAAAATATTGACCATGTTGAATGCCGAGAATATCCACAGCTGAGATACATTAAAGAGGCTCTACAAAATGAAGTATAAACCAAAAGTTAAGTTGGATAAAGTAAACAACATTGATAAGTAGGATAATTTATTTATTTAGCTTTGCCAACTAGGGCAGGGTCACCACAACAGCATATGCCAATTACTGTGGGCCCTTTTTTTTTACCTAACCCACCCTGTCAACTTTCCCTGTGGGAGGAAACCGGAGTACCCGGGGAAAACCCACGGCTTTCGGCAGAGCGTTGACTTTTACTCTTTTCACATGGGGACTGGGTTCGAGTCGCACTGAGAAGGTACTTAGTGAGACTCAAACCTGCAGCCTCAGATATGGAAGGCAAGTGCGCTAACCACTTGGCCACCGAAGCCCCTTAAAATAATAATATTTCACTCCTTAAGTTTCAATGTGCTCTACTTTGTTATTTTACTTTGTCTAATACTAGATGATTTTACTTGTCAAAGGGAAAGTGCAGGGGGCATTAATGGCATAATGAGACTATCATCTTTTGGCAACAGGTTGTCGGCAAGTAACGAATTAATGAGTAACATGAATTATGTTTAAATAATATGAACAACTTAATAGGTCTAATAGTTTGTATAAACTATGTGAAACACATCCACAGTGAAGACTCTTGTGCTGTCAAGATGAATCGTCTTTCGGCAGCAGGTTGTCAAGATATTGTGTCTTTCGGCAACCAGTTGAATCTTAACTGTGTTTTTATTGGGTTTTTCTAAAGATATACTGTAGCTAATATGCAAGGAATTAGTGAGTATTGAGTACACCTTGTCTAAATAATATAAATAACTTATTAATAAAATCTAATAGGTTCTTTGAATGTTTGCATGGCGATAAAATATAATTGTAATTTATAAATTTACGTGGTGTTTCCACAAACAAAAACAATTAAAATCTAATAGTTTGTATAAACTATGTGAAACACAGCCATAGTGAAAACTCTTGTGTTGTCAAGATGAATCATCTTTCGGCAGCAGGTTGTCAAGATATTGTGTCTTTCGGCAACCAGTTGGATCTTAACTGTGTTTTTATTGGGTTTTTCTAAAGATATACTGTAGCTAACATGCAAGGAATTAATGAGTATTGAGTACACCTTGTTTAAATAATATAACAGTAAATAACTTAATAAAATCTAATAGCTTGTATAAACTATGTGAAACACAGCCATAGTGAAAACTCTTGTGCTGTCAAGATGAATCGTCTTTCGGCAGCAGGTTGTCAAGATATTGTGTCTTTCGGCAACCAGTTGGATCTTAACTGTGTTTTTAACTAATACCGGTACAGTTATATAAATATATTATTAACAAATTACTAATTATTAAAATGCAATATAAGTACTTAGCATTATAAAATTGAATACAACACTACTAACATTATCAAATGAATAATAATACAGTATATAAAGTTATCAAAATAGTCGGCTGCACTGGGCAAAAATTATTATCACAAATGGCCCAGTTAGATGGCAAAGCTACTGTGTACTTTAAATATGGATACCGGTATACAATATTGAATAGCTATCCAGATCTAATAGAACATGAAATAGAATTGAATAGTACTGAAATGTAAGTAGGCTCTTGCCATTCTGAGGAACTTGAAGTCCTACATATTTTAATAAAGAGCACCAAAATGAGTGAATATATGCCAACCAAAAGATGTAAATATTTGTATCATATGAAATTGATTCTTCAATTAAATGTATTAAAACAAGTGGAGACAAGGCCATAACAAGCGCTCCTGTCTCTGCAGTCTTGCGTTTGGTTCTTGGTAAAAATTATAGAATGTATATGTATTGCAGTGGATTTTAGAACCTTGCTGTCACTATTTAGAAATTTATATAATTATTATATGGAATGTATCTGGACATCTGGTTGGCACACTTTTCAGTGCAACTCTCAGCAGGTAAGACCTATAATTTACTCCCAGAAATTTTTGAGTATTCAATCTATTTACTAGCGACAAGGGAATGCAGTATTAAACATATACTGTACCAATATAGTGAAATAATTTTGGGCTATGCCGCTATGGCCATTGTTAGAATCAGTATATAAACACAAGCAAGAATCCTTCCTAATACTAGCTTTCAATGACAGTAGGCCTATTATAGTGCCTATAAAATATACAAATTATACGTGATTTTATTATTTGCCTTCTTCATACCAAAGTAACAATAAGAAACGCTTATAGTTAATAAATATCTGAGCTATTATATAATAAACTGGGATCAACCCTAGTAACAAATATGTCAATGAACAAAGCACAACTATAAAGCCTTGAAGGTTACACAAGGAAAACATTACCAAACAATAGAATACAAACCTTTAAACAAAATATAACCACGATCGGTATTAATACAGAAACAGTTTCTTGACAAATCTTCGATTTACCATACATAAAATAAACACCACTCTCATCCGACGCCATGTTCGAAAAAAAAGACAGAAATTGTACGCCTAAATTCGCTACCTTCCTAAAAGGCACTGGAAACTAATAACTTTTTGACCCAGTCATTAACGCACCCGAGTAAATAAACATTTAGAGACAGCAGTATGGTGGCCCAGCAGCGCCATAGCATTTTCCTATATTTTTATTTAATTAATTTTGATTTTAAATACATTTTTAAATAAAATTACAATACACACTAGCAAAGTAAAAACATATTAAGATTAAATTTAAAAGAAAAAAGAAAAAAAGAAAAACAAATTAAAATTAAAACTGAATAAAAATAAAATGAAAATTCCACATGGCCCATGAGCGCCATAGCATTTTCCTATATTTTTATTTAATTAATTTTGATTTTAAATACATTTTTTAACAAAAATACAATACACACTAGCAAAGTAAAAACATATTAAGATTAAATTTAAAATAAAAAAACCAACAAAATAAAAACAAATTAAAATCAAAACTGAATAAAAATAAAATGAAAATTCCACATGGCCCATGAGCGCCATAGACCAGAATTAAAAGCCTTTTGAGTTTTCACTATCTTTCAAAATTCATGCTGACATTGTGCCTGCTTGTAGGCTATGTCAGGCAGGGGGGTGCATATCAGCATGATTGTTTTGTCCAACATGGCGACAGGTCGAACAAGAAATTCAACGTGGACTGATGATACGAGATTGAAGGAAGAACTTCAGAAGTATGTAAAGCAGGGATTAAAGCGAAGCGAAATTTTAAGTTTCGTTGAAAGAGATTTTTCTGAATACGCATGGAGCAAGAGGACGTTAGACCGAAGACTACAGTATTTTGATATATATCAAACAGATTGCACTGTGTCTGTCGAGGACGTACGGGCTGCCGTTTCAAAAGAGTTGGAAGGGCCTGGTCAACTGGTTGGCTATAGGGCAATGTACCATAAAATAAGGCAGGGTCATAATCTTAATGCTCCGCGTAATTTGGTTCACGCAGTCATGTACGATCTCGATCCCGAAGGACTTGAATCACGGCAGCCAATGAAAAGGCAAAGAAGAGAAAAAGGACATTTTATTACGAAGGGGACAGATTGGGTTCATTCAATGGATGGCCATGACAAAATGATGGGCTATCAAAATAGTACTTTTCCTTTGGCAATATATGGCTCTATTGACACAGCCAGCAGGAAAATACTTTGATTAAAAATTTGGACGTCAAATTCCTGCCCAAAACGGATTGGTTCATGGTATTTGGAGCATCTACATGAAACTCGTCAGATTGCTTCGATGATCAGAGTTGACAAGGGTACTGAAACTGGCGTGATGGCGACAATGCACTCTTACTTACGGCAAAGCCATGGAGATATGAATGCTGAAGACACAGTGTTATACGGCCCATCTACTTCTAATCAGGTATTACCCCAATACGTTAATAGAGTTAATAACATGGTAGAACCAACTAACCATATATAAAGGGGGCCATTCTATTTATTGTACGCCAATGGACGAAGTCGATAAAATTTGAACCCCCTAAAAAAAAAAATCAAAGTGCCAACACCCCCCCCCAGAAATTAAGAAATTTTTGCCTTACCCCTAAGAAAAAATGCAAAGATCAAAGGATGCTGATGCATACTACCCCTCAAAAAATGGCTTTTTCAAACGCCCTCATAAATTCTCGTCTATGGGGGGGGGGGGGGAGGTGTACATTAAATGGAATGGCCCAAAGTTGACTCCTGGGCCAACAGAGATATGCATGCTGACAGGATCACTAAGGCAATTCACAGTTCAAACATTAGTTTAAGATAGGAATAAGTAGTTTATAAAGAGAGATCAAAGCTAGATCATAAGTGGAATTTACTGAAACATTTCTGTCTTAAGACTTTTATTGGTCGTTTCAATAAATCCCATTTATTACCTAGCTGTCAGAAGTAGTCCATTTTTTAAAAATTAATCGAATGCAACTACTGGCTCTCCCTTTATAATATTAAACACCCTCCAAAGCCCTTCCAACAACAACACACTTGTTTGTAAATACTTGGACATGTATGCATCCAGAGATGGAGGATGCATGATGTGTCGCTGGATCAGATTGCTCAAATGCATGATCATAATGGAAGCATTATTGCTTGTGGAAACCATTTACATCTCAGTTCGTCAAAGTGTGCTCAACATAACAAGTGAATACTAATTCTTTCTCATATATCAACAGATTGAACGATGGTGGAGGGAGCTCCACGAGCGTCTTGAAAAGTTTTTTAAACATCAAATTAACTGGTTAAAAGATCGAGGGCATTATGATCCACATAGTGATCAAGACAGGTTAGTCTACAATTATTTTACGGAAGTAACAGAAGATAAATTATTTTACGGAAGTAACAGAAGATAAAAAATTAATAAGTACACACTGTTTACAACCAAACACAACAGCCTAGTTTTGGTTTCAATATTTTTCCCAACACTGAATTGATTTAAAACATTTTAAACTATTTAATTAAACCTTTTTAACATATCAAGAAATGTCCTCCTGTTATTTTGTCTATAAATATAGAGTCATTAGTATTAACAGGGGTTTGTCAAACTATCTACCTGTCTTTCTGTTAACCCATTTATATTGTTCGCTGTATTGTTTCACAAGAAGTAATTGACATTAATATGGGTCTTGCCTTTCAAAGCTGTTGTGTTGGATTTGGATTGAATGCTTCTAAATCATAACCAGAGTGCAACCATTCCTTACTCTGGACTACTTTTAAAGGTGGTCAGAAATAGTCAAGTGGCATGTTCTGTCATGTCTTCCGTCATGCACAGGGAGTGGACTTAATGCCCCCAAGAACTAAAGTGATCAAAATCTTAATTTTCCAGAGCTTAAATCCTTTGCAAAAAAATATTTGATTAATTCAAGATTTATCTATGTGTCATTTTATTTTTATTTCAGAATGCTTATCGCATTCTTAATGATTCCAGTACTGCAGAAACAGCTTGATTCATTTAAAGATACAGTGTGGAATTGTCACAGAATCCGTACCCAAAAAGAAACACTTCTTCCCGATGGGGTCCGAATCATATGTACGACTTTCCAGAAGAATATGGCTTAGAGAAATGTGGTAAGGAGTAGATATGTATGTTTAACCCATTCAGCTGCAATGTGGTCTACTTTTTTTTTACTTGTCTAACGCCATACGATTTTACTTGTCAATGGGGAAACTCTGTTTTGCCACAATGTGCATCGCCACAATGTGCATCTTACTTCTAACGCTTTTTTTAGGGTGGCCTGTAACAGAAGACCAGTTGAAAGATGTAGCTGAGTTGTCAGGAGTTTTAGAGCTAGATGATGATTTTATACAAAGTGAATCTCGGGAGAAATGTGAAAGAATTATTCCTTTTCCTGGTGATGTAGAACCCGACCAATGTGCAGATGCCTATGTTTACCTCAAAGACAATTTTTTAAATAGCTGATCACTTTTATGTTGTTTTTATCACAAGAAGCCCCAGCTCTGTTTATGCCCCAGCTCTGTTCATTATACACCCTAACCTTTGCTAGAGGCTGCCAAAATCTTGGGCAGACAATGTCATGTAGGCATAAACAAAGCCTGGGCTTCCTGTGGTTTTATTTATCACTTTTTGAAATACTGTACACCACAGATGATCACTGGCAAGCAAAATGATGTTGCACAGTGAGTTAAGGTTTTGTTTCTTGTTGGGGGAGATCTGCCCCCCCCCCCCCACTGTGTTAATAATAACAAATTGTATATACATACCATTTAGTATCTATTAACATACAAAGTTTAGGGGATATAACTCCCTTTTGCCGGTCCATAGGAGAAATGGGTCTCAATGAACTATAATGCAAAATAATTTCATACAATACAGACAGTAGTTTTTATCACAAACATCATAAAATCTGTTCACCAGAAATTTGTACAGATTTATTTTCATAAAATATCAATTTCAAACCAGCTATCAGTTTGATAACTTATATTAACAAATCATTTGAAAGTGTCTTTGATTTTAGAACATAAACAGGATAAACCAACAGTAATTTATGTAGTAATATTATAAATAATACATGCACTGATGTAGTTATCTTTACTAGTAACTTCAATGTTAATGTCTTCAATGTTATAAAAACTTGCTCTAAATGGATTCTAAATTTAAATATCTGCAATACCTATTGCATGTATGGATACTTATAAAATTGTCTATAGCAACCTCAGATAAATTACCAGCTGCAAACATCACCTCACTTTCTGATACTAAAACTGCAGAAGCAATTTCCGGGTCGAACAAGTTAAATCCCACTCCTTGAATGTCAACTACCATAACTTGCTTCTTTGACTGAATGTACGAAAAATGTGTTAAGCATTCAGCCTTCTGTACCAATTCATCCTCTTGGCTTTCACAAATTCCACCATCGTTATTAATATATTTTGTGAATGTGCCATCCACAAATTCTTCAACAATAACATACTCTCCATCAGGCATTTCTCCTAAGTAAATACTGCGGTATTTAAGAGTATGACCAAATGCTTCTGAAAGGTTATTTTCTAACTTTTTTTGAAATGTTTTCAGCAAAATTTTTGGCCAAGTGATGCATTTGTACAACCTACAAGGTAATTAGGTAAATGATATATCTTGATGATTTAAAATAATAAAGTAAAACCTACATCATGGCTTAGTTTATTTCAAGCATCTTTGAGGGTGCTTATAATTTGAGAGAAGATTCAATAGGGGGGGGACTTTAATGAAGCAAGTACAGTAAGAAACAGTAAGCTAATGTGAAATTGGAATTCTAAGTAGTACACACATTTTTTTGTTGTGAAGGGAGCTTGACAGCGATGAGGGGGGGTTTATTGGGGGAGGGGGTGCAAATTGGGGATTTATGGTAAAACTAATTCAATTGCTAAAAATAAATTCTAAGATCTAAAATAAAAACAAACTTCTATATTAAACTTTTCACACTTAATAGGTATTCCCAATGCACCAGGTTTCCCTTGAAGAGTAAAATTGTATAACATTAATAGACAGTAAAGTAGGGTACATTTTCTTAGGGGGGGGAGGGCATTCGATTTAATCAAATAACTGACCTTTCTTAGTTGACTTTCTACCGTTTGGTTGATTTTTTCAAT